GTGGGATCATTTCCTGCAATGCAACCTGAGCCCACCCTTTCAGATAAACTTCACAACCACCATGTGTGTCATTTTGTTTTTGAACTCTTTCTATAAGCTGAAGGTAAAATAATACTAATTGGATGTAGCATCATTTTGCAGACTTTCTGACTTTCAGACCCAGAGCATGCAACTGTCTTCACAGGCTGAAAGTCCCCATTTAACCACCTTACATACGGTATGAAGTCAAGCAGAAATGCTAAAGTGTAAACAGAATACACTTGGCTTGCACAGATCATGCTAATTAACTGCAGATCTTATTTGTTTTTTTCTTTTAGCTTTTCCTCACTTGGGTCTCTCTGGAATATCTTTATACTTTCACAGTGTATGTGTCAAAAATGTTACTTTTATTATCGCAAGCTTGACACTTTACAAACTGAGATGACACAACTTTTTTTTTTTTACATCCTAAACTTTACGGTTTTAAGTCCAAATCACAAATTTAAAAATTTACATGAATGCAACTCCAATAAAGAGATGTCTAATCTATTATCCACTGGATCTCATAAAATACTGAACATTTCAGTGATGACAATTAGCAGCCATCAAATCAAATAATCAACTCTGTGAGTGCAGAAGTTATTTAGTATCACCAACTGATGCTAAAGCAATGGGTTGGTTGCCTTGCCCCCATACTCAAGATACATTTCCGAAAAACACGCTGATAAAACTCAGTCCCTGAGAGCTGCACGTCACTAAAAGAGCTTTTGTTTGCTGCTGCAGAGCATTTGGAGTTTATTTGGACAGATGCCTGTATTTAAGTGATTGCAGAAACTGAGGTGGTGTATGCTGAACAGAACTACTTGGGTGATATTGGCTCATCTTTTAACAGTGCAAGGGAAATCATCCAGTGAGGGCCGAATGGGCAAATCAAAGTTGACGTGTGAAATCTCTGCTGCCCAAAAGCTCTTTAGGTCAGATCAGGCTGTTTGCAGACTTCCCTGGATCACAGCAATGGAATTTCAGAGCAAGAATTTCCGATTGGGCACCAGAGTGTTTGTACATGCGGCATATGCTGCACATGTCGCTGTCACACAGCCAGGCTGGCCTTCATAAATGAACAACCAGAAGTGTAACAGGCTGACAAAAAAGACACGTGAACTTTCCTTCTTTTACCTCTGCAGTAAGATTTAAATTTCTTCCAAAAGATGAAGCTGACTTTGCATACCTGACTGAAATATTTCAAACATTGCCAATCACAATCCCCGAGAGACACCACAGACAAAGAGGATCAGCATGCAGAATGTGCACATGCATGTCTTGATTTATGTTTGATGCATAAAGCAAACATAGCTCGAGCTCAAATTAATTCCTGCTGTAAAACTGAAGCGGAAAATTTGATTAACAAGCCAAAGGCAAAGCCGCTGGGAAGACCAGCTAGCGTAGTATTTATAGTAACTCTATACAGTAATAAAATATGTGTTGCTGCACTTGCGACCCTGTGACTATATTTAAAATGCTCTCAGATTCACATTGTAAGTCCGTGGGCCTTCTGAATGCAGCGATCACAACATATTAGGGACAAGCCTAGCCCACAAAGCAGCCCAAGGATCAAGGTTAGCAGAACAAAAAAATAGACTGTTGTCTGCTTTCCTGCAAAGTCCTAAATCATCATTACCATCTGCATCCAATCCTTCACAAGAGGACCCCCACATACACACATTTGCCTTCAAAAGCAACGTGTAATAAAAATGACAAAATAGGTAGTGAAGGCATTGCTATTTAGGCTAACTGCCTACTTATCGCTGAGGCCAAAACCTAATTCTGTCAGTTACAAGCTCTCATTTTACATTTTGTGGTATAATAATGAAATATTTTCTGTGTATGATTTATTCATATTAGGATGTTTATGTGCTGCGAGTTTGAAACTGTTTCCAAACTAAAAGAAGTCAGCCCTTTATTTATTAGATACACTTTGAGGAAACACTTTGAAACACTTGGGCAACAACTTCAACTGTTTCCAGTAAACTTTATTTAGTTTTTTAAACTAAGTAAATAGAATCACCATCCCTTGAGTTACAAAGCCCATATGATCACTTCACCATCAGTAAGTACTGCATCCAGTGCTAGGAAGTCAACTTTGGCACCCGCCAGTGTGTGGAATTTCTCGACATTTCCCAAGCCTGTAACTCATTTTTAAATGACACAATACTTACTATTTATTCCCCTTACAAAAGCGACATTGTTTCGCCGTAATAGAAAAATTATTTAACAACTCAGTGTGCCAGAAGTAAGCCTCCCTACAACCCTTGATACATTTTCTTTTCACTTTTCATCAGCCGAGCAGAAAGAAGAATGGGGTTTTTATCAAAGCCAGCATCTGCAGCTTTACAGAGTACATGTGACAAATCCTAGTTGAAATATTTGTTTCAGCTGATTTCTGTTACATCCGACGTGAATAATGAATGAGCTGTTGAAACATCTGCTGAATGAAACCTTGAAAATCCCTTTTGGTCTCAGATGACCAAAAACTCTCATTTGTTTTGGTATGTGCATGTGGCAGACACTCATGTTCTCCTTGACTTTTGACAACAGCCAAATAATTAACATTTCAGAGATGGAACAAGTTCTGAGTATTGGAGGTCTGAAAGTCTATAGAAAGTATAAGAATCTGAATCCCTGAATCCCTGCCTCTGATAAATTAGCTGCTACCAGAAGCTGCTGAAACATATTCAAAAACCAAGTTGAAGTTTAAGTTGTGATTTTTTAAGTCTGCACCACATCTTGACAGTTCAAGGCATGCCAGGCATGTCGGCATAGAGTTCCTATTTTCCATCATGAAATAGTATCCAACTTTCTGCTCTGCTGCATGAATGCCAAATTAAAAATGGCAACCTTTCTCCCTGTCTTGTTTGCATAGCTTCAACATAAACACATAAATTCGCAGTTGGCCCCAGTCACTCTTAATTTCCCAGTATTAATAAATAGAGCTTCTTGAAGTAAAAGAAAGGTCTTATCCTGTGTAAATAAGTCAAATAATGGCAATATTAGTACATTATGAGTTGTGGAAATTGTGAGGTTAAAGCACACACACTTTGCACTGAATCACACTTTGAGTGGAGCAAGTTGACGTGCCAAAAACACAACTGGGGCATCCTGGTTTTAGTTTATATACAAATATACTGTGATCCATGGAAACCAAACACAATGCTTCATAGGCAAAGAAGACATCAGTGCCTCTGCGGCTAGACTCCAGTTCTGAGAGCATCATCTTATACTGCCAAACCTTTCCTCTCAGGGAAAATATGGTTTCTGAAAACACTTACTCTACCCAAAAGATTTGTCATCTCTGAGAGAGCTTGTATCTTTTTTCCCACCATAGAAATGATCCTTGCACAGTGCAGTACAGATGAATTTTTATGAGATCATGAATTTCCCATAACAAGTGAGTGTCAACTTTGATTTGCCCATTTGGCTTTTTTACTCACCCTTTTTTATCGGGTTGTATTGTTGTTCTCCTTCTGAGACGCTGTTTGGGTTTTTCACTGCAGTCTTCTTGGTCTTCTCTGCCTTTTTGTTGGGGGATTTTACTAAGGAAGGAATTGAAATGTTAAAAAGGGGAAAGAAAAGAAAATTATAAAAGGCTGAATCACATTTTAAATTGCTGATCCACTGATGTCGACGCAGAATTTGATAGGAAAAGTGATGACAAAGGAGAAAATGGTAATGGATTCAGGAATGGGGACTGAACCAAAAAATTATTTCTGGGCACAGAATCTGAAAACATTTAACTCTTGTGCTCCCTACATTCAGTTCATGTCTGTCTGCCTCTCACATTAGATAAATAATGCATTTTAATTTGCACTTTTCTTGAAGTTCTTGCATTATATAATCAGGAAATCAAGGTTCAAATACATCATAAATACACCCAGTACATGCAGCAGGGTATGGGGCAGTGAGTTAACATGAAAGGTACTGAAAATGCTTTTTATTTGACTGAAGGTTGGGATGGGCTCCACATGACAACAGCTCTTCTCACATCTGTAAGTTTTTATCTGCATCTCTTTCTGGGGACAGGTTCAACTCCGCAGCGCTCTGAGCTCCACATGTGCTTCAGCAAAACCGATTAAGAAAGCACCAGCATATGGTTGTTGAGACACTGGTGAAATATCAGCACTACACATGACATTTAGTTAATCATAGTACAGTAGAAATATGACATTAAACTCCACTAAATGAATTCCAGAGATCCTACTTACGAGAAGCAGTGAAGGGATGGGTCCTTCCACGCAACAACCATCAATTAAAAATGCTCACGCTCCACATTTAAACTGTTCCCTACACTGACACTAAGATGTTAAAAAAAACTTCCATTCTTCTTCTCTCTTTAAGACTCTTAAGGTAAAGTAAAATATTGATTGTCATTGTGGATTTAAGTTGAAAGCAAAACTCAATTCATGACTAATTCTTTTTATTTTTTTTGACACTTCAGTGCAGTCGTGCAAGCTGGAAATACAACATATATAACATGCTAGGAAACAATCGAGTCTTCTGCTGGCGCACCTCTAACTAATGGTCCTACACTAGCTTTGTTCACCAGCTAGTTTCTGTGCATTCCTGTTAGAAAAGGGTAACGTACAGCTTTTTTT